GGGGGGGGGAGGGGGCGGGAGTGGGTATTTGTATATGTCAAAGAAGGGAGGAAATCTTGGGGTAGAGTGGAATGTATGTATGTAGAGGGTTTTAGCGTACCTTTTTTAGGTTGTAAGTTTTTTGAGTTGTGGGTTTGTGATGGTGTTTAGAGGATATGTGGATCTTGGGGGTTGATATCACTGGTGCTATGGGGGTTAGATACGTGAGTGAGATTGCTTGTTTGACTCTTATGATGGGTGAAGTAGGTTCAAGGTTTGGGTAGGGCTTTTTGGGTGGGGCTTTTAGAGGGGGAGGGGGGGTTGTGTTGTGTGATACTGTATTATCCGATTTTATATATATTAAGGAGGGGGGGAGAGGTTAGGAAATAAAGAGGAAGGGATTCAGATTATTCGCCTTAGGTTTGTGGGGTTGTGGGTTTGAGTACCATAGTTGTTAATTTCTTGATTTCTTGATTTCTTGTTCTTTCTCTTCATGAATCTACTATTAACAGTAGCGAAAGCGACGGTTCAACCAGTAAGTTGATTAGTTAGGTATAAGAAAGATATATATACGGATCAAAGTGGGGTAATGTACAAGAGTTAGGTAATATTGTAAATTACTGGAGATAAATTTTGAATCAATGGTAGGACGGTACTGTGATGGATTAGAAGGAGCGTTTGTTGTTTATGGTTAATAGTTAGGTGGAGAGGTGTGGGGAATTTGAGGGTTTGGGATTTCTCTCTCTTTCTCTCCTGTTTTATTTGTAGTATACTTGTGATTTAGCGATTTAGCACGATGTTTGGGTCGTGTGTTGTGATGTTTATTTATAGTTATAAGAGGACTAAGGTTCATAATTAGATTTAGATGTAGATGTATCTGGGAGAGAACCTATTATACGTTCTTTACCTAGGAAATTGGGCTGCTCAGAAGGTCTTACAGGTTGTAATCAGGTTCTGGATTATAGGGCGATATATATAGTAGAGCTTTTGAGATATGGTGGTGTGCATTCATGTTGTGCTGTAATGTATTCGGATTTTGGAATCTAGGAATGGATGGATATATTGCTTTTCTATGAACCTTGAGAGGAGAATTTGGATATGTCCCTGTACATATATATATGTTTGTTTGAGCGGGAATAGTTATGTGTAGTGTAAAGCTGGTTTCTTCTTTTGAGTGGGATGGCTGTCTTGATAGGGTCGGGATGTTGGTTTCTGTGGGTTGGTCGTTTGTAGTGTGTTTTAGGGGGGAGGGGGGTGTATTGTTTGTTGGAAGGATGGTTGTGTGTTGTGGTGTACAAGTTTGTAAGGTGGTGTAGAGGTGTGGAGTTGTGTAGTAACTAGTTGTGCTTACTGTGGTATAGTATATCCGTCGTCTATTTTGCGGGGGTTGTCTTCAATCAAGCCCATTGCTATGAGGATAAAGAAGGAGTGGACATTTGAGACGAACTATACAGTCACGTATTCCAAAGAATTATTCTCATCAAGAAGGTTCTTCTGATTTTTTTGTTTTCTCGGGATGAAAAGAAATGAATTTGTTGTATATATGACTGTGTTGGTATAGAGATATCTGTCGAATCCCCAGAGGGAATCCAACACGATTAGGTGAACAAGCAGCAATAGGTGGTTATATCCGCCATTCGATTGTTAAGGAGCTAAGTGAGTGTGGGAGTTCGAGTATTAAGTACTCGAACAGGGTGGGTCTAAAATAACGTGACTGAAGGAGTGGAATGTATCGCAACAGACTGAAAATGTGGAATATACTTCAGTATCTAGTGGATGGTTTGAAGTGTCTTTGCTTCGGTTGGAGGTTATGAACTAGGACGGAGTGGAAGGCTGTGGATTTATGTCTTTTTGAAGTCAAGTTGAGAAGTACACGTACAAGATATGAGATTCTTTTACAAGGGCTCAACACTGTAAGGAGGAAAAGAAACTGTTTACAAGGCTGGCTAGGTCATGTCCCTAGTGTACTATTAAGTTAATACTAAGTAGGTAAATGTTGAAATATCTCAAAAAGTTATCTATTGCGTCAGAGATACTCGTTGATTGTATCCGACCAGATGGGTTCCTTGAAACTAAGATCGTCTTGCAACCATAGGGTTCATCAAGTATTCCTAGTCCAATCAATCAGTATCGAAAAAACACGACAGCAACACCTCCCCAGAGTCCCTACGGCTTTCCACCAACTGAGATATCTTCTTACCACCCTCACACCAGATAAAAGGAGAAGCTTAGTCCATCAATCATCTCCTTAGCCTTCGTAGCTTACAAGGCACTTCCATGCTTCCCACCTAGTAACTTGACATCCCCAGAACCGAGTAAATACAAAAACGATGATTCCATGTCCGTCACAAAACTCGCCTCCCACAGCATTCACATGTACTCCCCCTTTGACTAGACCTTTTGGAGCTTCTCCGTACATGTGGCCGAATAGAATGTATTGCTGATGGTAGGAATGTAGATGTTGACATCCACTCCTTTAGTGACCAGCAAAAAGGTAATATCTTAATACCTGACTTGTAATGGAAGCATGAAAGAACTCTACTACGTTTCAAAGTTCTTGTATTGATATCTGTTGAAGGATATTTGATATTCACTCACTACGCACTAGTGGGACTAGCGTCAAACCTGGGTATTTAAGTACCCACCTGTACCTTACTTTACAAATCGACGAGTTCTCCCCTTTCTATCAAACAACAATATCGAACAACCCTCTTCTATCCAAGAAACTGGCTATCTGAAGCATATCCCCATCAACACCAGTTACATTTCCCTCACTTCCATGATACGGGGTCGGAATGTCGAAAATTTCCTAGTACCCAATGCTCACCAACTCGACGAGAAGATGGCTCCCTCCAAATAGAAGAATTGCTTCACTTCTGGACTATTTTTGGTCACTAACGGCATATTACAAAGCCGTACTGTAACCCACGTGACGAGAGTTCATGACCGCTTCATGTTCGAAGAGCGCCTCCATGGTACGGATTTTCGAATAGCGGTACCGTCCCTATCTCTCCCGAGTCTTGTGCAAAGTTGTACTCACAGTACAGCCCGAGGAGTATTCGGTGTTCGTATTTTGAAAAGGGGTTTAATCATGCTGAGATCCCCAAGCCTGAGATCTCCTGTGTTAAGAAAAGATTACTGCGAAGCCAAGTTTTCTGAACAGGATCCAGAGGTGCAACAATTCGAAATGAAGATCTAACCTGACATATCCTGAGGGGGAAAGAAGCATCAGACATCCAAAAAAGAAAAGAAAAGAAGGATCTTGAATGAATCCGCTGCACCTCAATACCAAGGGGTATGTTGTCCTGTCTGTGTTTTGTTAGGTATCGAATATAAGTCAACTGCAACTGCAACATCACACCAATACCGTTGAGTACTATGCTACAGTACTTCCTATAGTAAGGATCTCAGGAACAATGGAAGTATTCAGTATTGATGCCACGGGATATCCTTTTCTATTTATTTATTTATTTCTTTCTCTCTGCTTTTTATGCCGGGACATGAAATAAGAAGAAATGAAGCGCGGTTCTTGATTTACGTGCGCTTACATGGAAGCCAGGGAATTTGATTGTTGGGAAATCACTGAATTAGTCAAATGGACGACCAGATTAATGGCAGAAGATGTCGTAAACTTCCAATCCCCATCCATACTGTATTGCGACCGTGAAGCTAACAGTCAGCGTTAATAGCTTTATGAGATCGAGGCACAACGGTATGACCCAATGTCAACCACTCCCTCGGGACTGATGTAAAACATTGATTGGGCTTGCCACAGCGGAAAGAATACAAGGCTCACGTAGCTTGCACGATAGATTTTAACGGAATTAGTTAGGGCTTTCAAATTGGGATCGTTTTACTCAAGTCAATAATATCAATTCAGACATAGGCCAGTTGAACTTGCTTCAATTTCTCAATCTCCGACCCTGGTATAATGAGCAAATGGGTATCTTGAACGCCTGAAAACAAATGTCAAATTCCCCTCGCGACTCCTCATCAAGCAACTTATGCGAGTTGTTCATCTCCTCCCTCCTGTGCCTCACGCTGCTCCTTCTCCTTCTTCGCAGCCTCTCTCTTCTTCTCCTCCGGATCAATCAAGTCGTCATCATCGCTCCACTCAGAGTCATCATCAGGGATCAATGGGAATGCCATGCGCTTCCAGTATCTTCTCTCGGTGCGGTATTGGTGAACTTGAATCTTCAGCTCGTTCAATTCATCATGATCGGTGAGGTAACGTCTCATGTCCCGAAGATGTCCGTTGGCTCGTGCAGCAGCTGCCTTCATATCGTTGATTTGGTTGCGAAGGTTCAGATTCTCCTCACGTTCGTCGACGAGTTGCTTGCGATAGTTCTTGTGCCAGGCAAGGGTATCAGCTTCGTGGTGCTCCTTGTATCGATGCATCTTCTCCGCAATGTCTGCCAATATCTCCGCGCCGTGAATGGCAAGCTTCCAATTCTCCTTCCTGTTGTACTCGCTCTTCTCAAGGGCCTTGCGAAGCTCAGAGTTTTCCTTCTCAAGGTTCTTGGATTCCTCTATTGAAATGGTTAGTATATAAATACAGATAGATCGGGGGTGAACTTACCATTCATCTCTTGTGCGACAACAGCAATCAACTCATCGTTGCTCAGGTCCATGTTCTTTGCCTTCTCACGAACCTTGCCCATCTTGTCAACGACGCTTGCGGTAAGCTGTTGGTTGATGCGAAGGATTCCAGACAACTCTTCAACCATAGCCATGACATAATTAAGATCGGATTGGTGGCCAGCGGGAGTAGGATATCCAACGAAGGCTGCACCACCAGGCATTCCACCGTTCATGCCATTGGTGTGCGCTAGACCCTGCGATGGAGATGGGGGTGCTTGACGCGGATTGGAGCCTCCTTGGGCGTTCTCGTTGTAGTTGTAGTTCATGGTGGTGGTTGTGGTTGCGCGCTGGCGGGGAGATGGAGTTGGTGTTCTTGACCTGCCGCGATCTGGCGACAGATCGCGGCTGGTCAGAACGGTACCCTGGTAACCCCCACTTTCCATCATGGAGGCGCGTCGGCTTCTTGCAGGTGGTCTCTCCANGACAGATCGCGGCTGGTCAGAACGGTACCCTGGTAACCCCCACTTTCCATCATGGAGGCGCGTCGGCTTCTTGCAGGTGGTCTCTCCATCTTGGCAGCAGCGGTAGTGGTAGCGGGTGGGGGTGGGCCGGGAGGAGCGGGATGGTGCGAGATTCACCGGAGATAATCCAGATGGTGGTGGTCTGTGGAATAATTAGCCGAACCACTCAGGGGAAAGCATAACAACCATGGATGAGTGTGGGTGGTGGACTTACAACGAAAGAAAATTCACCACACAGGTGGTGTTGTTGATAGATCGCAAGGTTTTTGGAAAGCTAGGTGAATCTTTTTGAGTGCGCGACAGCTGGATGTTGACCAATCAGAGGTCGCGCAACGTTCTGCATCTCCTGCCTGAATATCAGGGCATCAATCGCCTAGTAGCTGGTGGTGGTAGTTACTTTACTTCTATTCTCAACAGTTTGTGTTTTTTGTTTTGATATTTTTCTATCTAGATTGAAAACCTTTCAAATTTAGAATATCTTGCGCTGATTCTAAATAGAATTCTCACCTTGTTTTCCTATGTTCTTTCTTCTTTTCCTTTATTCTTTTTTATTTTTCTGATTAAATAAAGTATTCTTTTAAATTGAAATATTTTATATAAATATTAAATTCTTTCATTATATTATTATGTCTTACTTCTTTTTATCTTTCTATTCAGCTAGACTACTTGATTAAATATGAATTGCTTAGATAAATAGTAAATTAAAATATAAATTTCGTTTCTTTTATTCTTCTCTATTCTTCTATTTATAGAGGGGCAGCTACAGAGGTTGACCTTACTTTTGAGTGCGGCTCTGACCACCTCCCGGTTCTCACTCGCCTGTCGTGCTTTAGAGGCCTAGCTGAGAAGGACCCCCCCTTGAAACTTAGCACTCTTAATGTCAAAGACTTTGAGGTAGCTCTACAGGGGAAGCTTGAAGAGCGATGGTTGTACGAGCTAGGTGAACAAACGAACACAGAATCGCTAGAGGCTCTAGCAAGATTTATCATTGAGTACGTACATAGTGCGTATCTCAGTAGTGCTAAGCGAGGCCGTGGGCATGGGTTTGGACACCCCTGGTGGAACAAGGAGTGTCAGTCTGCGGCCACCAAGGCCAGGAAGGCTCGAAGGCTCGAAGGCTCGAAGCCAGCCTAGAGGCTGTGAAAGGTCTTCAGAGGGCTCTTAGACAGGAGATCCGGAAGGCAAAAGGAGCGCACTTCCGTAGCCTNAGTGCTAAGCGAGGCCGTGGGCATGGGTTTGGACACCCCTGGTGGAACAAGGAGTGTCAGTCTGCGGCCACCAAGGCCAGGAAGGCTCGAAGGCTCGAAGGCTCGAAGCCAGCCTAGAGGCTGTGAAAGGTCTTCAGAGGGCTCTTAGACAGGAGATCCGGAAGGCAAAAGGAGCGCACTTCCGTAGCCTGATCGACAAGGCTACTAAGACTAAGGACGTTTTCAAAATATGCAAGTGGCACCAGAGTACGGGGGTATACAAGTCCCCCCTTTGAAGGACTCGGCTGGCCAGCTAGGCTTTACTCAAGAGAAGCAAAATATCCTAGTACAAGAGTTACTCACAAACAAGGCGGAAGTAGGGGACATTCCAATCAACACCCCAACCACCTCTACGCGTGCCCTCCCCTGGGCTACTCTTACTTTACGCGAGGTAGAAGAGCCAGTCCTTGGAAAGGCTTCTACTGCACCAGGAGAGGATGAGCTTGTGCCAGGGGTTTTTGAGGCTGCCTAGCACCAGATCTCACACCTAGTGTACTCTCTATTCAAGGGATGTATAGAGATAGGGTTCCACCCTAAGATCTTCCGTACTGCAATTGTTGCTATCATTCCAAAGCCAAATAAGAAGGATAAGTCGTCTCCTCGAGCATACCGACCAATTTCCCTACTCTCAGTCCTAGGAAAGGGGCTTGAAAGGCTTCTTGCAAAGAGAGCTTCATGGATAGCTATTAAGCACTCTGTTCTAGGGCCGAACCAGTTCGGAGCCCTCCCTCTAAGAGCTGCTACAGACCTTACTACCTGCCTTACCTTTGACATTGAGAAGGCACTGGTAGACAAACAGGAGGCCTCCCTCCTTACGCTAGATATTAAGGGCGCCTTCGACGCAGTACTTCCTGGCCGCCTGATCAAGAGGTTGAGAGAGCAAGGATGGCCGCATAGCTTTGTAGCATGGGTCACCTCCTTCCTGACTAATAGATCTGTTAAAGTAAAGCTAGACGGAGAAATAGGAGTATCTACCCCTCTTCAATGTGGCCTGCCCCAGGGCTCGCCTATCTCACCTATCCTCTTCATGCTCTACATCCAGCCACTTTTTACCTCAGGGGTGGGCTCTTTCCTAGTGTTACAAAGGTTCGGCTATGCCGACGACATTGGATTACTTGCTTTTGGGCCTACTAAGGCAGGGAATATGAAGGTCCTCGCAAAACAGGTAGCTAGTGCATTAGAGTGGGGTACAGACGAGGGTATCACCTTTGACGCAGAGAAGTCTGAACTCATCCACTTTTCTCGTAAGAGAAAGCAAAAAGGGAGGGGCATCCGCCTTCCGCCTTCTATTATAGTAGGGAGCAGAACAATAGAGCCAACCCAAGAGCTTCGTTGGCTTGGCATCTTCTTTGACCCTCGTCTTACTTTCTACAACCATGTTAAAAGGATGACAAGTAAGGCTACGCTAGTAGCTAATGCTCTAAAAGGGACAACAAACACAATAAGAGGGTCTCCCTCCTACCTGCTAAAACAAGCGACTACCGCTTGTATTCTATCAATCGCCTACTTTGGAAGCGAAACATGGTTCCCTAGACGAGCAAGAGCCAAAGAAGGAGGGACTACAAACAACCGAATTGGCCGTCACCTGACTCTCCTAGACTGAGTAGTAGCTAAGTGTGCTAGGATTATCCTCCCAGTATACAAGACTACTCCTATCTCAGTTCTCCTCATGGAATCTGGCCTTCTAGCCCCTGAAATTGCCCTTATAGCAAGAAGTAAAGCACTAGAAGCCAGGATCCGGCGGCTAGACCCTGCCCACCCGCTCAAACGATGTGTGAATTGCCCTATCCCTAAGGCTAGGCTTATCTATCGCTCTAGAGCCCTCCCTCCCTCTGAAGAGATTGACCCAGTACAAGACCCTCCGTGGGACAGGGGGTTCCACCGACAGGCCCGCCTTATTGAAGTAGCAGGACCTGACCCTGGTGGAGACAAGAGCTCTTTTAAGGCCAGATTCCTTGAATTCCTAGCTCTGGTTCCTTCTACTGATCTAGTAGTATTCACTGACGGCTCTCGCTTAGACGACAAGAGCA